AAAAAGTTTCCCTTTGATCGGGTTTACTTCGAGTCACAGTTCATTGGTCCCACTACATTAACATTACTGACCGAGAAATCACAACCCTGATTGACATGCTGACACTTGTGGAAAAGTGAAGACCAAAAATATCCTGTCAATCAATAAAGATCAAATTCTGGAAGCATCTATCATTCCAGAGCGTTTTCATTTTAGGGACCTCAAAGAAAAAGAAATAGGTGTGCAAAGACGTCGTAATTTGTTTACGTGAAAATGTTTGCAGTCGATTCCAGTTGCGATCAACATGTTCAAAATTCAAACTCTTCGAATTGTAAAATGAGTTAGAAATACCGTCCTCCCCAGGCAGCTGACTGTTGCTTTCCAGGAGGTGCTGTACTTCACATGTTAAAAATGACTTTACATTAGTGGAAATGGTTTATGGATCTGGCATAGAGTCAAATAAAGTGGATCGGAAGTACGCATTTCCGCAGGACGACGCGACAGAAACTTTTTGATGATTGCAAAGGACGTCTCTCATCTCCTGTAGCAAATATTTCGGTGTAAGGAAGCTTCTGGGCTTTGCGGATAGTTTCCATTTCTTTCCATCACTGTATACTTTGATGGATCCTTTTTGTATGACAGGTTACCATTGCAACAATACAACCTGCTAGAATCACCCTTAATTTTAGCTTTAAGAGCTTATAACTAAAACAAAAAGCTTGATGACCCCCCATTTTCTTGTTATCGACTTGTAATAAGTATGATAATACAATGAGTATGGCATAAAGAAGTGGTTAAAAGGAAAACAAGGTGTGTCAATTGAGACTTTATTCATGCGTATGGGGGGAGATGTTGCGATATACTGTCCAAATGTGTTAGATTGAACTCTAAAATAGGGCAGTCCTTCATTTCAATGTCGTGCCCTTACCATTTTTTAACTGTATACGGTATTTACCTCGGACAGCAATCTATATCGAGTTTTCCTTTTAATTAAAAATTTTGCCGATGTCGCAAGTCTATCCTAAACTTCTAATGGACCATTTTCGTATTCTCGGTATAAGACTGGAACTAGCTTGCAACTGAGCCTAATGCTTTTCAAATGTAAATGACACAAATCTCTTTCTAATAATATTCTCCCACATGAGCCTCCATTGCAAGCTAGTTCCAGTCCAATACCGAGAATACGAATATGGCCTATTGTCAGAATTATTCTGATCTTGAGCACCAAGCAATGATTAACCCTCAGACTTACAAGCAAATTTATACTCCGACAGTGGCACAGGGGTGGGGGCTCATTAAAAACCTTTATGGATCTCGTTCTATTGAAAAGGATTCAAATTATTTTGCTTTTAGTAGAGAGATTTGAGATTTTGAGATTTCCTTGAGATTTCTGCACAAGATGCGACACTCTTTTGTTGGTTATGACGTCACGTGATATGACGTTATGTCATGGCATTCGCCATGTTAGATCAGCCATCTTGGATTTCACGACTTCATCAGGAAATCAGAATGTGACGCAAGGTTGTGGAAAGTTATCCAAAATGATAACGGAATGTAAAAAAGCACCAATGCGCCAATGTCACTAAAGAAAGCTGGACTGAAGAATTCTGTCAAAAAAACCCGAGGTTTAACTTCACTGGCATGTCAAAATATACCGACCCTGACAAAACAGTTGAAATATCAGTCAGCATCACAACGTAAATCTACTTTCAGAATTTTGAAGTAATAAAAGTGTTCAGAAGGGTTTAAATTCACCATACCAGCAGTACCCTGACCAATTGTACCACCCAGGGTTAACAAAGCTTACATACAACTATTTCCGATAATATTCTACCAACAGCTATCAAACTACAAAATAATGCATGAAAATTTACGTAAAATTCCAATAAATTAAATTAATAACACAGGGATTCTTATTCGCCTCGATTTACGCCGAGCTTGTAATTAATTCAGCTGTTTCATTTGTTCCTGCCGTATTTGGATCAGTGCCCAGCCCATTTATATCTCTGTCTTTCTCCTCGATGTCAGGTACAAGTAACTTGTTCAAGCGCTGTCAAACCAAACAGAAAAACCAATAAATACATCAAATGATTCTTTTTGGAACGTGGCTGCCTTTCCTTATCAGTGGCAGTATTTATTAACAGCCCTCTTAGTGTGACCCTCCTCCTCTTTCTCCTCCTTCTGCTCTTCCTTCCTCCTCCTCCTCCTCCTCCTCCTCCTCCTCTTCATTTTCATCCGCCACTTTCTCCCCACCCCACTTCCTCCAATTTAAGTACCCTTCCTTTACAGATCCATGGAACATTCCCCCATCTCCCCCTCTTCTGCGTCTCACAAGCTAAATTCATTTATTCATTATCACTCATTAGTCACGAAATTCAACACAGACGACTACATAAAAACGTGCTAGAAATGCTACCCAAAGCTGATATATTGGGAAGAACGTTTCTTCTCCAATTTTATTTGTTTGTTGTTTTCTTTTCTTTTCCTTATCCAAACTGGAAGGGGCATTGTTAATCGACTGACTTTCAACTGGTCGAGCACTAACACAGTTTTTGTTTTTTTTGGCTACTTTGGACGTTGACCCTGCACAAAAACTGGCAAAATACCAAAGGTGGTTATGTGTGCTCATAAAACTAACCAATCGAAGCATCGCGATTATTCATGCATAGTCTATGAGCATAAAACAAAAGATGTGTAGTGTCATGGACCTTTAACACAAATTTTAGCCTGTTTGTTTGTTAATTTCTTTGATGTTTACCTTCCTAACCATTTCCCTTTATTAACTATGCCGAAGTTAAGCCTACTACTCATGTAAATTACTGCAGGTGTTCACCTCTTTGATACTTCCAGTAGTCTTGAACAGCTTGTATATCATCACCGCAGGAATAAGAATTAACGAGGATACCATCAGCAGCCAACCAATCGCCTGGCCCCAACCTGGGTACACGTAGTCGCCGAATTTGAGTGGTGAATACGTCACAAGATTAAAGACGAAAATAAACTGCAACGTTCAATATAAAAATAATTAAGGCAGCCATAAAAATAGTCTACGTTGTAGGAGAGTTATTTGTGAGTAATACGTTTCTGTGAGCTGTGTCAAGAAACGAAACATGGTTGTATTCGTAGCTGGTTTGAAAAAGAAGAAGACACAACGAATTGCATAGGTTCATGATACATTGCTTGAAGGAAAAATATTACTTCGAAATGATGTTGATGAAAGAATGAATGAATGGTCTATTGAAATATGAATGATCTAGTGAGGGAGTGGCATAGGATAGTATCTTTTCTGGGAATAGTTGAAGCAGTTTCTTGGATTGCTAGAGCACAAGAGCCAACACTAATTAATTAATCAGGCTAGTTATAATTTTTTGGGGGGGTTAGTAAGAATGAGTTTCGGGCTAGTACATCCTACGTGCAGCTTGCTTGAAGGGCAGGCTGGAGAATTTATTTTGTCTGGACCCTGCCTTTCCTGAACGGACAAGGAACACAAATAGAGCGCAAATATGGTGTTTATTCAGCGGTTCGGTTTTTTGGTGCAGTGGATTCTCTTGCATAAGGGAACGAACACTTTAGATGGCTGAACAATGTTTAACGAAGAATACATAAACTAGATTGGATATTATTAGATATCATTCAACATAAGATTACTAGTCTATTGAAACACGAACAAGTGTAGAAACAAGCAAATGCAACCAGACATGTTCCATTGATGTCACGATGCAAGATATGCAGCTTTTAGTTAGTACTGGTTGCAGTTCTGCGTGACAGGAAATTCTAAAAGCAACGAATATACGTTATCCTAAATGTAATTTACAACTTCAAAATCGATCAGAATGGTAAATTACACTGTAGGGTAGAAAACTACAAACGAAACCGAACATGTAACATGAAAGTCAGGAGTTAAGAAATATCTTCAGTGAGCATTGCAAGCAACAGTTTTTGTAATTCAGTTATAGAAGAACGTTCGAACATGCAATAAAAAAAATCAACAAATAACTGATTGGTACTGGGGAAAAGTTTCAGAGTCAACAAATTGCTTGGAGCATCGAGAGTTGTAAAGGTTGTAAAGTCCTTAGTGCCTTACAAGCTTTGTACTGAGGAGACAACTTTCGTTTTTCGGTTGTACGAGATGTTCCGTTTTGGTAGACTTAGAAGGCCGCTTGTTATGATGTCCTCTGTTAGAGGCTGGTCGTGTGGTAAACAAAGTGCTTGCAACAGAACATCCTGAAACATTGTTACAGTAACAGAAGTATTGTCGTCTTCTTCAATGAAGGCTTGAGTATAGCATGTTTTCTTGCACTTTTCAACTTTCTGCGTAAGACCGCACTTTCTGCATTATGTTATGACTTGCGTGCTGTCAGTTATTTTACTTTTGCACTTAAAGCATAAGTAGTAGAATGCAAATGTTTTGATGCTAATAAATTCAGCTTGCGTTGTTTTCGTAAGGAACGTATCGGGCAAGTCAGTTGGAGTGGCCAACGGCTGGGAGAAGTCCTCTCGTGGAGTGATTGTACAATTACATCCAACAGGGGTTCCAACAAACAGGCTTCGTTATAGTCGTTCCTGTGTACTCTCAAGTTCTTGAATGTGTATGCGCTACCTTCTTGAATTTGAGGAATGAAGTCTTCCCAGAGTTCAATTGTAATTGCTCCGTGAGGATCAATTAAGAACCCAGTGATCTTTTCTTTCAAGCCATATCTTGTGTTAACCTTTTTGCGACCTTGAAGTTTGACCACTGGCATCAAATGATATGAGCTGATTATTAGTTTCAGCGGAGAGTGAGCCTAGAGTTATATTAGACTTCAATGTTGCTTTAGGAAATGAAACTGGCATTTCAAATAGTCTCACTCTTGCAGCCATGAGTACACTTTTGTGATCAATTCTGTCAATGTCATAATTGATGAGTTTTACTGGACTTGTCTTACTTCAACAGACTGAAATTCTGACAGCTTTGACGACGAAAAGCAAACACCTCGTCGTACGCCATCCTTCGTTTCCAACTGCATTTCAAAATACTTGCTTGTTGCAGTTTTAGCATCAGTTCTTGTGCTTGATAAAACAGGAGTGACATTATGGACATAAGCAATGAGGTTTGGTTACCCATTGAACTGGTACGGGATTGGCTGCTGAGAGTGCTGGTAGAGGGTTGGCTGCTGAGAGTGCTGGTAGAGGATTGGTTGGCAACAGTGCTGCTGGAGGCTTGATTGCTGAGCGTGGGGGCTAGAAAGCTCAGAGCGCTGATGAAGGCTTGTTTGCTAAGAGAGCTGACGAAGACTTGGTTTGTCAGACTGCTAGAGGAGGTTTGGTTGTTCAGATTGCTGGTAAAGGCTTGGTCACTCAGAGTGCTGGTAAAGGCTTGGTTGCTCCGAGTGCTGGTAGAGGCTTGGTTGATCACAATGCTGGTAGATGCTTGGTTGATCACAATGCTGGTAGAGGCTTGATTGCCGAGACAGCTAATGGAGGCTTGGTTGCCTGGAGTGCTATTTGGGGCTTGGTTGCCATGAGTGTCGGTTGAAGCTTGATTGCCCAGAATGCTGGTAGAGGCTTGGTTGCTCAGAGTTTGGGTAAAGGACTGATTCATCATACTGCTAGTGAAGGCCTGATTTCTTGTAGTGCTAGTAAGAGCTTGGTCAGCCATAGCCTTGGAAGAAGACTCACAGCTACTAGTACTGGTGAAGGGTTCCAAGTTCATTGCTAGAGTCTTGGCTGTCCATGGTTGTGGGAACTGGGTTATATTATTGGGTGATTGGTATGGATTGGTATTGGATGATTCTGGCGGTGTTTTTACCCCGGTTCTCGCTAGGAATGCGTTTAGAAGATATTTTTGAACCTCCTCTCACTTTTGGTTGTCTAAAATGAAAGGAAGGGCAAAAAAATCAGCAAGTGAGCAATCTTCAAGTTTTCAGACAGTTTTACTTTAATGAATCATACTGTTCAAGTATTAAACAAACTGGCTTGTGATCAGAAAAATAACATTCTCTGACATATGGAAGAATATTTTTGTCAGCAATATTTGTGTAGCCATGATCAATACACGTTCTGCTATCTGTGGTGTGCTGTAAAATTAGCTGCCTGAAACTGTAATCTCTGATTAACACGTTAAAAAGTGCGCACCTATCCGTTACATTAAACCAGTCTATATTAAAATCATCAATAATTATCTGGTAGGTTCATAAAGGCTGCAAATGAAGAATTTCAGCAAGAGCTAGGTCCCGGGAACTAGGCGCAGTTGCTGGACCGGAATCCTTTGTGATCGATAAACTACTATTATGTTTACATTTGGCAAAACTGATAACCTTGCGACTGCAATCTCAATTCCATTTCTGTTGTGTTGACAAGGAAAGTGTAGTAGGAATTCTAGTCTGCTGTATATAGCTGTGCCACCATAAGGCCTATTAGCGCCCTGAGACTGACCATCATTCCTAAACAAAGTAAAGCCATCTATAGCATACATATCATCCATGTCAGATTGGCAAAATCCTGTCTCAACAAACATACACACGTCAGATGAAATGTAATACAGATCACATTGAACATCGTTCATGTGTCTATGAAGGGACCTAGCATTCAGAAAGCACAGTTGGATCGACGGATTCGTTTGTTTAGGTGGAGGAGACATTGTAATCTGCAGACTACTCTCAGCGCGCAAACGACTCACTTCTTGTATTAGATTCTTGTTAACCATTATTTTATCTTCACAAAAATTAGTAATGTATAAGCCATCTATAGTGGTGACTCTGCTGAGGCCTGCATAATGAATGTGGGGTATACTTTTTTTGTGCAAAAATTTACAACTGTTTTGGTAGCTGCTGGTCGTGTTGGGAACTGTTTCCTAACTAGCTGAGCTGTTCTATTTCTATCAACAGCAAACCGTGTGGTGATAGGCTTGATTGGAGTCCACTCTTGTTTGATCCTTTGTGTGTATAAATGCCTGTTGTCATGACGAGTTTTCTCTCCAACATCAGCCTGATCAAACTGGACCCATACTACTCCAGATGGCTTTCCACATTGATGTACTATTATGTTTTGGACAATGTTACTAGCACCGCACCATTAGTCATGCCATCTGCGGCCCTAATATTTATAGCTAATTCTGTTCTTTTACCCTCTGCTAATGAGAGAGTTGACACGATCTGTTTGGTTTTCTTTGGATCATTTGGAATTTGCTTCATGATTTTCTCCTAAGCTATAATGAACTGGCTCCTACAACACTATCACGAGCTTTTATTGTATCTTTGACTCCAGTAGCAGCTTGATGTGCTTTATTATAAAACTCATTTACCTTCGCATTTTAAATGAAAAAATGAGGGATGTTCATGAATTGGTTGTCAGATGAATTGTCTGGAATGGTACGTTGTTTGATTTTCAAGATGTCCTGTGCTGTTTGCTTTCCTTCTCTTAGCCTGTTGAGGATTTGTGCAAATTCCTTGCTTTGTCCTTGCCTCATGATTTCAACAAGTTCAAACATCTTGAAGAGTTCCTGCCAAAGATTTGGTGCAAGAGAACCATATTCAATGTCATCAAAGTCTGAAAATATGACTATCCATGACAGGTTCGAGTTGAAACAAATCTCCAATAGCAACAATGCTAACACCACCAAAGTCCTCTTTGCATCCTTTTATGTCTTTTAATCTATCATTAATCTGCATGTTCAACATCGTGTTTCCTACCATAGACATTTCATCAACGAATATCAATTTTACACCACCTAAGCGACATCTTAATGTGTTAGGCCGACTGGAGTCTAGAGACTTGTAAATCTTCAGTGACTGGCAAGCTGGTATAGCTAGAGCGCTATGTATAGTATTATCTTTGATGTTG